CCGCGCGGCCGGCCGCCGGCGCCGGCGCCGCGCTACGGCGACGAGCCGCCTGCGCGCCGCGGCCGCAACTCGAGCTCGTCGTCGCGGAGCTCGTCGTCGTCGATCTCGTCCCGCCGCGGCCGCGACTCGAGCGACTCCCGCGACCGGCGGCCGCGCTCGCGGTCCCGGTCGCCCTACCGCTACCGCGGGTGAGTCGGGAGCCGCGTTAGAAGCATCTCTCCCAGTCGCGATTCTCGGCGTGGTCCGTAGTTTACTAACGCGACGAGCATCAACACGACGCCCGACAGGCCTCCCGACGGCGCCAGCCGCTGAGCTTCGCGAGCGACTCGGACTCGTCGCCAAAGAAGCCGCCCGTGAAAGCTCCGACGGGCCGCTGTGCCGCGGTGTGCCGTCGTCGTCGAGGAGCGGCTCGTCCAGCGGGGCCTGGCCTCCATCGCGGCCTCGACGAATCGGAGAGCGCCTGCTTCGTTACTGCTTCGTCTACCCTTGAAGCATATGGTGAAGGGGGAAACGTCGGCGTTTTAGCAAGGGGTCAAGCAGCATGTTCGACATGGCTTACATCGTGGGGCTGGTGGACACCTTGCGCGAGGGCGACGACGCAGCGAAGGCGGAGGCGGCGCAGATGCTAGGCGAAATCGCGTACGACGACATGCACCAGAACCTGATCGCCGAGGCCGGCGGCATCCCGCCGCTCGTCGAGCTCCTGCGCGACGGGAGCGCGGAGGCCAAATCGGATGCCGCGAATACGCTGCGCAACCTCGCGGACAACAACGCCGCCAACAAGGTCCTGATCGTCGAGGCCGGCGGCATCCCGCCGCTCGTCGAGCTCCTGCGCAACTGGTACGCCAAACAGCAGGCCGCGTGGGCGCTGCAGAACCTCGCGCGCAACAACGACGCCAACGCGGTCGCGATCGCGGTGGTGGCCGTCGGCTTCGAGGCGCTCGTCCAGCTCGCGCGCGGCGGCCGCGTGAGCGTCGACAACGGTCGCGGCGGCGAGTTGTTTGTGGTCTATGATGCCGGCGTCCACGCCAAGCGCAAGGCCGCGCTCGTCGTCGCCACGCTGCTCCGCGACTCCGTGCCGGAATTCAAATCGGCCCCGGACGACATCAAGGCCGCCATCGGCTCCTACCTCTAGGACGCATCGCGCCGAAACTAACGGTAAGTAGCGAAGGCGGCGTCCGGGCCCGGGGAGGCTCCCTACTCGGAAAGGTCGAGCTTCCGCACGCGCTTGACGAGCTCCGACCTGGGGCCGCTGGCGTCCATGCCTCTCCTCAACAGGATTCGCCGTAGATCGCTGCGCGTGAGCTTCGCGACGTCGGCGGCCGCCTCCCGATCGACGGGCGCCTTCTCCGAGCGCTCCGCGGCGAGCTCCGCGGCGCGCCTCGCGGCGATGCCCGGCGTCACCGCGGGCTTGGACGGCGTCGCGGTCCGCGCGGGCTTCGGCGGCGGCGCGGCCGCGCCGGAGGCCGCTGCGACGTCGCCCGGCGACACGAACCCGGCGGCGCCGCGGAAGGACGCGGCGCGCCGCGCGGCGATGCCCGGCGTCACGGATCGTCTCCGCGGCGCCGCCGCGGTCTCGTCGCTCGCGCTCCGCGCCGTCGCCGCGGCCTCGTCGACCGCGGACGGCTTCGGCGCCGACGGCTTCGAAGGCGCCGTCCGCTTCGGCATCGCCGCGGCCTCGTCGACTGCGGACGGCTTCGACGCCGACGGCTCGAAGGCGCC